GAGTTCTTATTTACCTCCCCAAGAGACCGCCTGCCCCAAGGGAGATGGGGATGGGACCTAAGGGGCAACTTGGCGAGGGCAGAGCAGTGCCAGGCACCGAGCAGGCAGCGTCAGCCCGGGATGGAGCAGCAGCATCTGCCCCCTGCGCTGGGCTCTGCCCCCTGCGCTGGGCTCCGCCCTGGGGGTGGCATGGCTGCCAGGGGAGAGCGAGCCCAGGAGCCCCAAGGGTTAAAAAATGGTTTTAAGAAAAGCCAGGGATTAACGGGCTTTTTGTTTCCCCCACTGTAAGCAGAGCTCTGGTTTTGTTTGAAAGGTGCCCTGGGTGCCAGGTCGCCAGTGGGGAGAGAGAAGGGCTCCAGCTCTGCAGCTCCTCACCCGTGAGGACGGGGTCTGCCCCTCTGCAGGGGCTCCAGGCCACGGACCCAGGGGGACTCCAGGAGGGGAACTCAGCCCTGGGCTCTTTTTTCTGGCTGGCCTGGCTCTTCGGGGGGACCCCAGTGGAGGCAGAGGGGGACACAGACCTCTGCCACCCACCAACCCGCGTGGCAGGAGGGTCTGGGGGCACTGAGGGCTGGCTGTGGGCAGCGACCTGCCCCCGGAGCAGCCAGCCAGGCTGGAAAGGCTCGGAACAGCCAGGGGATTTTCCCCAGCAGCAGGGCTGAGCAGCAGAAGTGACGGCTGTTTTCCAGGACAGTGATGGCTGAGGGCAGCCCAGGAGCCATCACGACCCTCGGGTCACCCAGGTGCTGTGGGTGCACACTTCAGGGCACAAATAGACCCAGAAGCCTTCTTAGGGGAGCAGGAATACCCATACAGACGTGTCTGTGCTGGGTCTGACCCCTGCCGAAGCCCTTCTGAGACTCCATGGGCTGACCCAACACCAGTGAAGTCACCACAGATCATCTCTGCTACCGGCTTCAGCCGTGCAGGAGGAGGAGGAGGGAGCAAAGGGGTACAACAAAGAACATCTTCCCTGCTGACACAAAGCCCATTTGTAAAAACCTACGGGCTTTAGAAGGCTGCTCATACCCAAGTCCCCACCTCCTGACCATCCCCTCCTGGAGCCAGCACAGCCCCAGGAGCAGGGGCTCAGCACAGCCCCGGGCAGCAGCAGTTCCCTCCCAGCAGGACCACCCGTCCCTCGTCCCGCTCTCGCCGCCGCCCCGGGGACGCTCACTCGGGGATGTAGTCCCTGAAGGAGTTGAAGCTGAGGCTCCGGCCCGCGGAGTTCAAGGTGGAGCTGCCTTGCATCTTAGGGATCTTCTCCATCAGCTTTGACACCGTCCTCCTCTTGAAGGAGCCCGGGGAGAAATGCCCCTGCCTCATGAGCTCCTGGTAGAGGGTGTTGAACACCGCCACGGTCTCCTCGTAGCTGTCCCGGGTGGAGATCTCGTAGAAAGGAAGCTTCAGGGCCTTGGAGAGGTTTTCACCATCCTCCGTGGACACCATCCTGTCGAACTGCAAGTCCTTCTTGTTGGCCACGATGACGACGGGGGGCTGCTCGGCCGCGGCGCTGCGCTTGGGGCTGGCGTGGATGTGGTTGATGAGGAAGCAGAGCCGCAGCACCTCGTCGAAGCTGCACCGGTCCGTCACCGAGTACACCACGGCGAAGCCATCGCCCCACTTGATCTTCTCCTCGATCTGCAGGGAGTCCTCCTCCTGCCGGGGCAGACGAGCTCGTGTCAGCAGCAGAAGCCCCAGCCCCTCCTCAGTGCCCACACGTCGGGGTGCAGCCTGGGGAACCTCCTTGGGACGGGCACAGGGAGCCCAGGGCAGGAGTTTGGTGGGTTGGGCAAAATGAGGGGTGGAGGCAGCGATCAGCCCCGGCCCGACGAGGACCAGGGGAGAGTCAGGGCTGCTGAAGCAGATCCACCATGGCAGGGTCAGGGCGTCTGAAGCAGATCCACCATGGCAGGGCTGCTGCTAGATGGGAGCCAGCACAGGGCTCCCCATCCCCATCCCCTGCAGCCCCGGGGCCTGCCGGGCAGGTGCCCCACAGGCACGGGCAGCAGAGCTGTGCTGCACACCCCCAAGGGGAACAGGGAAACACTGAGCTGAAGCCACACTGTCACTGATGCTAGAGAGACATAAGCTCTCTAAAACATCCTTTTTCTGAGAGACACAGATCCTGACCAGTATTCCAGATGGCACAGATTAAAGCTGGTGGGAGAGCAGGGGTTGCCTCTGGTGGCAGGGGGCACGTCCCCGATGGCAGTTTGCAGGGTCAGCTGGCTATGGAGCAGCATGAGCTCACCTGCCCGGCTGTGTCCAGGATCTCAAAGTGCACCATCTCCCCGTCGATGACAGCCATGTGTCTGTAGATCATTTCTGGAGGACAGACACAAAAGCATGTGAGAGAGAAGCCCCCAAGTAGGAGATGACAACCCCGGTGCCCTCGGTGCAAGCCGTGCCAGAGACGTTGACTGGACTTTCACCTGCTGCAAGCTCCAGCCCATGTGGCCTCTGCTTCGAGTCCACATCTTGAGCTGGGCCCCAGCCTGTGTCCCACAGCCGGGAAGGGCAGCCCTGTGCCCTCGGCATCGAGCCCAGAGGCAGCCTCCTGCCCTTGGCAGCCCCCTCCCAGCGGCTTGCCGGAGGCTGGCAGCACGTGCCGGGCTCCCCGTGTGATGCCCATGGCTTGTCCCTGAGGATTTGCCTTCACAACACAACAGAAAAGGAAAGAGGGATGCAAGAGCCAGGGAGGTGCCCCTGAGCCAGGGAGGTGCCCCCGTGGCTGGTGGCTCTGACCACAGCCAGTCTGCTCGAGGAGGAAGAGGAGCAGCTGTGGTGTCTGGAGCAGGGCTGGCTCTGCCAGGAGCAGCGCTGGGGGCACCAGAGTCTCCGGGCTGAGCCAGCAGCAAAAGCAACAAGAAAAAGGACATTACTTACCTAGGGTTGGGTCATAGTCTCCAATGAACCTCCTGGTGATGAATCTTACAGTCAGTGCTGTAAAACAAACACAACAAACCCAGTTACAGTTGTCAGGTCAAGTGCAGAGAAACTCCAGCCCCTCAAGGTCCTGCTGGGAGGGAGGGGCCCAAAACTGAACCC